GGCAAAGAGAGATAACTGAGGCGCGCGCAAATAACCGGGACGTAAACCCGGAAGAGCTTCGGCAAGCTCGCACCCGCGCCTGGGACCAAATGGTGCGGCGGTGGCGCCGCCAGCTGGAGGACCCGAGCCATTACGGCCAAAGAGTAAGGGAAGCGTTGGGCCCGGTCCTCAAAACCTGGCTAGAGTGCCCGCACATTTGGATGACTTACAGGTCAACCCAAATTGTGACGGGCCACGGCGTTTTCGGAGAGTTCCTACACCGTATACAGAAAGCGAACTCTCCGGAGTGCGAGCACTGCGGAGCCGAAATAGACACCGCAACTCACACTTTGGAGGAGTGCGAAGCGTGGGAGAGCGAAAGGGCAGCTCTCCTCGACGCGTTCGGGGATAATATCTCTCTCCCGTCCATCTTCAGACAGGCGGTAGAGGATATAAACAAGTGGCGCACTTTTCTCGCGTTCTGCGAGAAAGTCCAGAGCGCCAAAGAAGACGCTGAACGGCTTCGCCAGGACCAGCCGGCAGCAAGAAGAAGAAGGCGAGTCAGAAGCTAACTCTGACTAGCGCGCGAAGACAAAACCTCCTCTGTCTAAGAGGAAGGTCAAGGTACGCAGTCCGGGAAAGTGAGGGCTCTTTCGGACATTGCACGCGACCACAGGAGTCGGCAGAAAGGGACAGGCTCCTTTCTGCCGCTACAGGGGGGAGGTGCTACGCAGCACCCAGGCGCGGAAGGGGGGACCGGGATGTTATAGCCCTCCGGTTTTCCAGGCCTCCCTTCCCAACGCATACGAGAAGCCTCAAGGGGTTTTAGTGGGTACGCCTCTTTGGCAAGTCCCACATAACCCTGGCCTGCCCTTACAGGTCAGGGTATCCATAAAGGATTTCCCCTTGTAAAAAAAAAAAAAAAAGCTTGCACATAATTTGAGATCAAATTGACGCCAAATATGAAGCAAGATCTGCGCAACACGACTTGATAGCAAAATAACAGCAAAAACCGAGCAAGACTTGCAGTTTAGTCAACCTACATGGTATTTAAAAGGCCATTTAATTATATCTTGACTTATTTCTAAATTGTATATACACACTATCTATAATCCATAATATATATAAAATTACTTTTACATTTGAGTATTTAATCTATTTCCCTATTACCAATAATTAAATATTAAAATG